TGTTTCTTTATTTTTATTTTTTATTTTTTTTAAGTTTTAACTAATGAATAGCAATGCCCTACTTTGTAACTGCTGGCTCTTGCATGTATCTTCAATGGCTTTTGTACTTCTTATTTACAATAAGGTAGTTCATCTATACCTTCTCCATGGGTCCAATTTGAACTGCCTTACAGCTTATCTATCAAAATAAAAGGAAAGAAAGAAAAGAAAAAGAGGCTCCAATGCTATCTGAAGCGGAATACAGCAATGCCACGCCCTTAAGTTATCCATCATCATATTCATTGAACCAAGTGACCATTGTGTTTAATTAAAAAGAATATCATTTTGATAGGTTTAACATTAGATAATTCCCAATGGAAGGTGTGTAATCCACTTCATATTAAGTGAAGAAAAGCAGTTTTGATACGTTTTCAATACTGTAGCTTATGCATTTAGGATAAAAAGAACTAATAATTAAGTTGAAAACTGAAAAGATCCACAACAATGTAGTGAAAGGGGTTTTGCACATATCAGATAGGTTTCCCCTTAAACTGTTTGCTTATGATGAAAGGTATTTAGTATTAAAGTGATGAATAACAAGCAAAAACAATATGCAAAATTTGTTTGTTTAGATGAAAGGTGTTTTCTTTATTCTCGATTTTACTTTTCTTTTTGATAAACTTATTCTCAATTTTACTTGGTAGGAAATCTAAATAATATAATTCACTGACATGAAAAGCTATTATATTTGCTAAAATCGTAGTTAATTGATTGAGAATAATGAATTTTGCAAGTACTCTCAAGGAAGTACATGCCTCATGGAATTAAGTTTCATTGCTAATTTTCCTGGCATAAAAGCTAAATTGGTTTTCTAATATACTTGTTTAATGCAGATCGGATTTCCTACTAATTTTAATCTGCTCTCTTCTCTACTAACCCACTTAAAATACACCACCTGTCACCCACAAAACACTCATCTCTCTCTCTCTCTCTCTCTCGTGAGCTAAGGAGTTTCCAGAAATGGCAAATTTCAGACCAAGCTATCTACCATCCTGCATCTTAAAACTTCTAGTTGTCAATAACATGATCTGGATTCTGGAATCTGATATTCTCCCCAAGTTTCTGGTAATGTACTACAGGGAACTATTACAGATGCCTAACTGAATCCTCTGCAATATATAAATATATTTGGCCCGGATTTTCTGAGGAATTTACTCCCTACTTTCACTTCTCAACCCAGAAACTGATAAATTTGATAACATAACATGATAAAAGACCAGAATGGCTCATCTTTGTGGATGATGCGAAGTGCAATGTTTAAAACAAGCCCTGTGAGGTTCTAATTTGAGGCATCTCAAACCTATAACAGTGACGAAGTTCAATGTTCTTAACTGAAACAAAGATGAACAGGTTGCTTCTTGTGCTAATATACACCTTTTGGTTCAATTGAAAGTCTTTCAGGGAAACCAATAATAAATTTCCTCTTTAACCAATCTGTCTTTCCTTAATTGGCAAATGACAACTTTATTCTGTCAAGCCACAATGCTGGGAAAGAAGGATCACAAAATTACCAAATAAATAAAACCAATGAGTATTGATAGTACCATGTGAATTTGGAAGCTAATGAATGTTCATTATTTGGTGAATCTATATAACTTAGGTTTGAAATTTGCATTTCTGGAAACTCATCCTTGGCGCGCAAGAGAGAAAGGGGAAAGGGATGTTTTGTGGAATGTGGGTAACTAAAAAATAGGGATTTATTTTAAAGGAGGTTAAGGTTTGGTGAGTTGTTGGAAGGTTAAATCTCTTCCAACATGGGTAGGGACAGGTGGCGTATTTTAATTGGGTTAGTAGAGAGGAGAGCAGATTAAAGTTAGTAGGAAATCCGAGTTCCGTTTAATGTTGTAACCTTGAATAATTATTCTCTTACAAAGTTTTATAATGCGGCTCATAAGTTTAATCCCTTAGTGTCATTTCTACTTGAATATACCCTGTAGTTTTTAAAACTATTTAACTATACCTCATTGGATAGTCCCACTTGACACGAGAGAACCTGTTAATAAAATGTTTAAGACAGCAGTCTTAAACATTTTATCTGTGTTTTGTGTGTATATGTNGGGGGGGGGGCATGGCACCATTAATGAGGTATCCTTGTTTATTTTCCTTTTTTATTCTATGTTCTCCTTAAATAAATATTGGAATTTGCATTGATAATTGTTTCTTATATGAGATGGTTGCAGCAGAGATCTTAGGAAAATGTTTGATTGGCTAAACTAAGCCTGCCAAGCATCAATCAGCACAGAGCTGAACAATTTAATGAATTTATTCCATGTTTTGATGATCTTCTCAGCAAGTTATTGAACAAATTATTGTTGGGAAAGATTATAGTTGAACAGGTTGTCGAACCTGTTACTTGGACAGATTATTAAACCTGTTATTTGGACAGGTGATGTGGTTATGTGTTACTAAGACAAGAAGTCCAAAAAAACATGTCTCTTGCATGATTCAACTTTAAATGTTCAATTGAAGTTCTTTTGAAGTTTAAATGTTCAGAAAAACATGTCTTTGTGAAAGCATGATTCAAGTTTAAATGTTCAGTTGAAGTTCTTTTGAAACCTTGCTTACATCCTTTTCCAAAGCTATCTAGATGTCACAAAGCCCATGCAGAATGCCTTATGAATATAATTAATCCTATGAATTTACAACAATCAATATAAGTAAATAATATTAAGGGAAACAAGACATAATAAACTAAGAAGAACCATTAACTTCAATAAATTCATGTTTCCCTTTAAGTGAAAAAAGAAACAGAGATAGATAAGATAGTTGCTGATCATTTAAGTGATTTGCAAATGCTATGAAACTCAGAAAGAATATAGCAAGACCAACAGAACATGATACTATGAAACTCATACCATATGGTTCTTGTGTCTCTAAGCCTTTTATTGATTTAATAATTGCCACATAACTAAGTCTTCTTGACGCTTTGCTGCAGATGCTAAGTTCAAAAATACTGCTTTAGAAAGGTCTAGGAAATTAACCAAGGATTTGGGAGTGGTTCAAGAACCAAGGCTCATTCTAGAACCATTATCTCCTAGGGTCTCCTCATTATCTTGAAGACTTATCAGAGAAGGATCCTCAAGCCTTCCTTTGTCACATTTACAATATTTTCTTTGCCCATTCTATTGGGATAAGGATGATTGGCAAAAAGATAAGTTTGGATAAAAGTATCAAATCATGGTCAAGCATGCAAACATGTAGGCATTCTTCCCCATGATTTCACACATGGAAGTTGAAGTGGCTTCCTGAAATGGGTTGCTTGTTTCCCCCGGCCCCTGCTCCCTCTCTCTGTTTTGGCATGTTTTATCCCAATGACCCTTTGCCACTTCATTAATAGAGTCCTTTTTCTTCACCAATGCCATTAATAAGGTTGAAGAAATTAATAGCTAATTAATATATGTTAGCAAAAAGTAAATGGAAGGTCTGAGGGTGATTTGGAGGAAATTATACGTTTGGTTCACCGCTCAGCCAGAGGAACCATCATGGAATGAATGTTTTGGACCTGTCACGTCACCACCCATCAATGCGCCAGGAAAACTACCCAATTGCTGCACCTGCAAGGAAAAAGTAGGGAACCTTTTCCTACTATGATAATAACATTCCCTACCTTTTCCTTCAAACCAAAAACAACCTAATTGTCTTCTCCCTCCCTCCTCCCACTTCCCTCCCCATTTAAAATTCTGATGGGCCATCAAATTTTCCTTCAAACCAAATACAGCCTAATTGTCTTTCCCTTCCCTCCTCCCACTTCCCTTGTTTTTGTAAGCAAATTTATCTTCTCAGAAAATATTTTTTAGCATTAATATTTGCCTTTTTAACTAAATGAAAGATTATGGGCCCATTTGGTGCGTCTTTCTACACGGTCTTTTGGCTATTTACAAGTTAGGAAGAACAAAAATCGGTCTATTTCCGTTTGGCACACAAAATATCTAGCTGCCAAAAGACGAAACACCAAAAAGATGCGTGAAGCCCATTTTGGGCTGATTTCCGGAAAACCCGAAATCTTGTGTGAAAAGACCCAAAATGGCTTACGGAAAGATGCGCATCTGTCAAACGATCTTCGGATTATCCAGATCTTATGTCAAAAGCTCAATGTGTCTTTTGACTGTCAAAGCTACAAGAACATCTTCTCAAAAAGACTTATCAAAAGGGCCCTATATTATTGTGCTAACTTTCCGTTTCATCCTTTTTTTTCTTCAGTCATCTAGAAGATATTGAATAACAAAGATATTAAATAATGACTTTTGCAGAATCTGAGAGACAAAAATTCCTTCTCAATCCTAATAGAATAGTCAAATCAAGAGGCAAGTCCAGAAGATTAGGTGAGAGAGTTTTGGAAAATTTTATGGAAATTTATGTGGATGATTGCAAGCAAAGATTCAATGCCTTTTTCTATAAACGCAAGCTGAGAAAGAACATTGGGAAAGAGAACATATAGAGTGGTATGATGGAAATATATAAAACATGCAAGCATGTTTGATTACCGATGAAGAAGAACATTAGTCTAGCAAAGATACATGTATTGTTACTTACCTATTGCTCAAACAAATGTTAGTTGATTTCTATTATGCATCCAAAAAACCAAAAATAAAAAATAAAACCCTACGAATGAATATCCATTACACAAATAATAACAAAACCACAGAACATAATCAAACCCTAATCAGGAAAGTGATTTAGCTATTTGGACTTGTGAGGTGAGGCTGGCATTGCAGAAATTTGTAGAGAGATGGATCAGTGGAAAGCACAAGGACGATCTTAAGGCCTAGGTTTTGTTTCTTTTGATTTGAAGAGAGATAAATCAGCGGAAGCCCGAGGGTTTATGTAAATCTGTTCTTGTCACTACAAATTTTCAACTATCTTCTACAAATCTACGCATCCCTCTAATCGATTATAGAGCTCCCAGCCCGAATCAAGGTCCACGAATTTTGTTTTATCAAAAATAAGTTTCAGAGTCTTACCGGTAGAAGAATCCACAAGTGAAAAGACCGACCTACTCTGATTTCACTCCTTGCAGCCATCCAGACGAAAAAATAGCTCTTTATCCTACGAATCCTTCAACACCAACCAACCAATATTGCAAAGCACGAACAGCAAACAGCCGACAAAGAGAAATAGAGAAGAGAGAGATAGACAAAGAATGGAAGACTGAAAGAGTGAAACGAGAGTAGAGAGAGACGCGGGAGGAGCAAACAGCAAACCCGAACTTTCAAACGTTTCATTGCACAGCACTGTGAGCCTTCAGTCCTCTCTTGTATCCCATTCCCATTTCTTCAATGCTCCAAACCCAGGTCAGGACTCAGGAAAATCGCTATCGTCGACCTTCAGAAGTTGTGCCATGTAAAATGGTATGTCCCCCAATAGTGCAAAAGCATTACAGATATAACAGTCCAATACAAATCTATCATTCATGGCTTGATTGGATGAGGCTGAAAATCCATAAGAGGAGATTAATGTTGAAGAAGGTTTGATGGTGGAAACACCATGAGGTTTAAAGTATCGATACGTATTATATCAGTGGGTCACCGTGAAATAAAGGGAATTTCGGGGTAAGACCTGCTTCAAGGGGTAGTCAGGCCTTTAACCGACCCCTGAGCATGTTTGAAAAAAATAATAAAAGTGTGTTGATACAAAATCCGCTACACCCAATTCGGCATATTGGACTATATGGATACTTTGAACCTGATAGGGGCAGTGCTACCATTGCTATTGACTTCTAATATGATGAGGTAGTAACGGAGAAGAAAAATGAGGTAAAAGCTATGGAAGAGGAAATGTCACAGATATTAAGACATTCATCGGGTTCCCCATTTTCGTTTGATTTTTTCATGGTGACTTTTATAACTTCTCCAGACTCCAGTTCACACTCTAGATCACCTTGATTGATTTGATTTACGTATCACTGAGCAGAGAGAGGAATAAATTACAAGTGCATACTTTGAAAATTTAAAAAACGGTCAAGGGCATTTTTGTCCTTTAATTTTCTTCTGTCAATCTTAACGGCTAGATGGTAAACAAGGTATATTTAAGTTGTTAGGTATTAAGTAGTGTAGTAAAACCACAGGGTATATCTAAGTAATTAGCCCCCCCACCTTTTCCCACCACCAAGTTTCTTTAGAGCTTTAGGCTGCGTTTGGCAACGATGCAAATATGTAGAGTGTAAAACAGTTCATATATATTGCAGAATTGGGTTAGTTTTACACTGACAAATTTATCTTCTTAACAAACAAACTTTTAGCTTGGCCCAACACTAATGCCTATTAGCGTCAGCAACAATTAGGGAGGCTGCTGCCTCCGTACGGAGCCAATCACATAGCTATCTGGCATACCCGCCAGAGCCTACAGCCTGACCTCGTATGGCTCTCATCCGGGGCGTTCATCTTCACCTACCCCCAGCACGCTCAAGTATAAATAAGAAGTAACTGCCCCTTAAAAGAGGCTAGAACGGAGTAACTCCAAGATCACTCACTCATTTACTTCCTGCACCTATATTGTCTACCTAGCATTAATTCAAGGAGATCTAGTGCATCCGAGGACTCTCTCCAGGAGCTCTTTTGCACTCTCCCCTGCTTTACACCTCGTACTAACTTGAGCATCGGAGCCTCTACCTCGGGTATCCACCCCGAGGCCTCTAACACTCCCTATCTTGCAGTATCTTTGGTCACCAGGGACTTCGCCTCGACTTGTAGTCCTCGGCTACCATAGTCCTCGAAAGGAATACTTCACATCAGCCTGCGGTCCTCGGCTTCAGTCAATTTCTTTCGAGGCCCCGAGGTCCTCGGCTAACACTCGGAACCTGAAGAGTGAATTTACCTCGTTGCCCTCAGCCAATCCGCACGGCAACAATTAGCGCCGTCTGTGGGAAAAGTTGCTAAGGCGACACCCACTTTAGGATAAAAAGTAATAATACTCAAAATCCAAACCCCCCATAAGCTCGAAAGTCATGGTGAGGAGAGCCCAGAACAATCAGAACCTGGTCACTTACGAGCAATTTCAGGCCATCCTTGATCATTTGGACCACCTCACCCAACAAATGGAGGAAGTTTTCCCCCGAGCAGGAGGTCCCTCTCAAGGCGACCCCCCCGCTGGGGTATCAGAAGATTAGGGCCGACACGAGAACATCGAGCCACCGGTTCTCGGCCATGGTAATCCGGTGGCTGAACTGTCAGAATTGGGCAATAACCGCCTCTCGATCTCACCTCGTAGGGAGGCCCGCTCAATCCGAAGACAGTCATCAATCTTCGGAGCAGCACCACCGCCGCCGTAGGGAGGCCCCCTGAGACGATGGCGGGCACCTTGGCCGCCCTGGAGTTCGCTCCCGAAGCGAGAGCCGATGCCACCCCACCCCACCTCCCGTCTCAGATCTTAGGGACATTTTGAACGATCACCGCACCCGCAGAGGACCCCGTGACCCTGTCTCGRAATATTCAGGAGTCTGAGCCGACACCCACTGGGTCTGCGAAGACAGGAGCAACGCCCATGCCCGTGCTGACCTAGGGCTCGCCAAATTGTGAGTTGAGATTGGGGCCGTCAAGGACGAGCTCTGCCAGGTTAAGGAGAGCCGAGCCGAGCCCTCAACCATTCACGACAACTCCGTTGGCCACATGGACGCATTCACCTTGGAAATCATCTCGGAGCCTCTCCCCCTACACTTCAAGGCTCCCGCATTGGAGACGTACGACGGAAGCACTGACCCCAATGACCACTTGGAGGGTTTCAGGGCGCTCATGATACTATACGGCTACTCCGATGCCTTGACGTGTCAGACCTTCCAGGCTACCTTCAGGGGGGCCACTCGCCGCTAGTTCTCCAGCCTTCCTCCTCAATCAATCAGCTCATGGGAGCAATTTATAACCTTGTTCCTCACCCACTTCATCAGCAATAGACGATGCCAGAAGAGTGTAGTCTCTCTGATGTTGCTCAAACAGGAGCCGGGTGAAAGCCTGTAGTGTTACATCAACCGCTTAAAGAAAGAAGAGCTCGAAGTTCGAGACCTCGACCCTATGGTCTCCATGCACGTAGCTATCAACGGACTCCGTCCCAGCTCAGCTCTCAAGTGCTCGGTTGCTAAGACCCCGCCAAAAACTAAACTCGAATTCCTTAAAAAGGCCCAAAAATACATCGTTGCCGAAGAGGCTTCGGCCGGGGACAACCAAGAAAGGGCAGCCAAGCGCCACGACGATCCCCAGAGAAGAAGAGGAAAGGTGGGGACCAGCGCCACCCCAACAACAATGGCGGCAAAGGCAACAAGAAGCCATCGGCTCTAGCCTTGGCCTACAAGGACTACATGCCACTCAACTCCACCCGCACCCAGATACTGATGCAGATAAGGGAAGAGAAGTTTGTGAAGTGGCTAGCGAAGCTGAAGCAGAACCCCAAGAAGGGAAACCCTACGAAGTACTGCAAGTACCATCGCAGCACCGGGCATGACACCGAGGACTGCTACGATTTAAAGAATGAAATAGAGTCCCTCATCCGCCGAAGACACCTCAAGCAGTTCATCGGGGGAGAGGCCAGCGCCTCGTCATCCCGACAGAAGCAGTAGCACCAACAAGTGGTAGGAGTCATCGACATCATCACCGGGGGCATGGCCTCGGGTGGAGCCTTGGCCTTGGCTTGAAAAGCCTACGCCAGGCAGCTCAACATCCAGCTGTCCACATGCCCTCGTCTTCACCAACAAGGACTTAGAGGGGGTTACTGTCCCCCACGACGACGCCCTCGTGATCGTAGCCATCATCTCCAATTTTATGGTGAAGAAGATCTTAGTGGATAGTGGCTCGTCAACCGATATCCTTTTTTACGACACCTATGAGAGAATGAAGCTCGTGTCAGAGTGACTCTAGCTAGTCGATGCTCCCCTCGTTGGCTTCTCCGGCAATGTCACCAGGCCTGAAGGAAAAATTACCCTACCCATCATGGTAGGGACAACGTCACACCAGGTGACTTGGATGCATGAGTTCCTAGTGGTGAAGGTTGCTTCTCCCTACGACGCGATAATGGGAAGACCAACCCTTCATGCACTAGGGGCAGCGATGTCCTCTTATCACCTGGCCCTTAAGTTTCCCACCGAGCACGGCGTTGGAGTTGTTCGTGGGAACCAACAGATCACCTGCCAAGCTACGTGGCGGCGCTAACAGGAAAGAATAAGGAGGCCTTATCACTAGAAGGCCTCAACCCCCGAGAAGAACCAGTGATCTAAGGCCAACCAGCCAAGAACCTCATCTCAGTTCTCCTGGATGAGTCAGCCCCAGAAAGGACAGTCCGTGTTGGGTCCAACCTCCCCCCTAAACGCCTATCTAAACTGGTAAGCTTCCTCATAACTAACACCGACGTCTTTGCTTGGTCCGCTGTTGACATGCTCGGAATTGACCCCTCGGTCATTACTCATAGGCTGAGTGTGGACCCGAGCTCTAAGCCAATTCGGAAAAAGAAGAGGAACTTTGCACCGGAATGATGGAAGGCTATAGGAGAGGAAGTTGATAAGCTACTCGACGCCGGCTTCATCTGTGAGGTACATTACCCCAACTGGCTGTATAATGTGGTTTTGGTAAGGAAAGCTAATGGGAAATGGCGGATCTGTATTGACTTCACAGACCTTAGTCGAGCCTGCCCAAAGGATAGTTTTCCTTTGCCAAGGATAGACCACCTCGTCAACGCCACCATAGGGTATGAACTACTCAGCTTCATGGATAACTTCTCTGGGTACAACCAGATCCAGATGCACCCCGACGACGAGGAGAAGACATCTTTCATCACTGAGCACGGAACGTATTGCTACAAGGTAATGCAGTTCGGCCTTAAGATTGCAGGGGAAACTTACCAGCGCCTTGTCAACAAGGTTTTCAAGAATCAGATGGGGAGGAACGTCGAGGCCTACGTGGACGACATGGTGGTGAAGAGCCTGAAGGCCGAAGCGCACACCTTAGACCTGGTCAAGACCTTTGATACTCTGTGTAAATTCAACATGAAGCTCAACCCGAACAAGTGTGCCTTCGGGGTTACCTCGAGAAAATTCTTAAGCTATGTCATCACTCAAAGAGGCATTGAAGCCAACCCAAACAAGGTACAGGCCATACTAGACATGACACCCCCTCGGTCAGTAAAGGAAACTCAAAGACTCACCGGCAGGATAGCCGGCCTCAACTGTTTCATGTCGAAATTGGCAGAACGCTGCCTTCCCTTCTTTCGCACCATCAAGAAGCTAAAAGATTTTCAGTGGACGGAGGAGTGCCACTGTGCCTTCGATGAGCTGAAGGTATACCTCGCCTCACTCCCGCTCCTCGCTCAGCCAATATTAGGGGAAACCCTATATTTGTACCTATTAGCCGGAGACGAGGCCGTTAGTTCGATTTGGTGAAAGATGACGGAGTCCAGAGACCTGTGTACTATGTCAGCAAGGTCCTCTACGACGTTGAGACCAGGTACCTTGAAGTGGAAAAGCTAGCTTACACTCTCATCACCTCGGCCAGAAAGCTCAAGCCGTATTTCCAAGCCCACTCCATAGGTCCTAACAAATCAGCCCCTTAGGAACGTCCTCGCCAAGCCAGAGACTTTGGGACACCTAATTAACTGGACGATAGAACTATCAGAGTTTGACATACAAGCCTTGGCTGACTTCGTAGCAGAAAGCACTTTCAGCAGGCCCCTCGACCGGCCTCGTGAAGATGAGTCAGAGGAAGCACGACCAGTGTCAGAGACATG